TTTTTTTTTTTTTTTTTTTGCTTTCAAGGTGGGAAGCAAAATGTGTTTGCAACAGAGCATGCATACGTAAATGTTTTAACCAGAGGTGACCTTTCATCCCTTGCATGGATCGCAGCACCCTCACACCTTACCATGGCAACAGGTGATCGAAATAAGCAGACGTGTCAAGTTCATTATGCTGCCCTCAACTTTAGAGATATTATGCTTGCTACAGGGAAGCTACCTCCTGATGCTTTGCCAGGTTTGTGCCTTAAGTTGAATATAAAATTTTATTTGACAAAAACATGTGACATGCCTAAATATGGTCATGATGACATCACATCATTACATCATATATAGACACATTATGACTATATGTGGGCATACAACAGCTTTTTTGTCAAGAAAAATTTGACAATCTGGGTGGAGCTATATATTTGTGCATAATAATAATTAAAACTTCTTTTCTGTGATTAATCATCTTTATGAACAAACAAAAATGCCAAGTGTTATTTCACAGATTTTACCTTGAATATAATATCCTAGTTTAAATCACTGTTTGAAACTGTGGTCAATTTTAGGTGATCTTGCTCAAGAAGATTGCATTCTGGGAATGGAATTCTCTGGCTATAATTCTGAAGGGCAAAGAATCATGGGATTGTTACCAGCTAAAGCCTTGGCAACAACTGTAATGGCTGATCGCCGCTTTACATGGTCAGTGCCAACCGAATGGGAACTAGAGGGTGCTGCCTCAGTACCTGTTGTGTACGCTACGGCCTACTATGCACTGATGGTGCGAGGGCGCATGAAGAAAGGAGAAAGTGTTCTGATTCATTCTGGAAGCGGTGGTGTTGGGCAGGCTGCTATCTCCATTGCTCTTCATCACGGTTGTAAAGTTTTTACAACAGTAGGTAAGTTCATTTTAATATTTTATGTCCTTTCCAAAAAGCATATACATTTGCCAATTGCAAGATGGACCCAGGAGCCTGGACTGGCAAGCATCTTATCATATTGAACATCATAATTAATAAGGTTGATCCATCCACAAAAACACCCTTCAATTGGGATCTTTTATGATGACTAGATGCTGAAGGAGTGGGTTGTTTTCATGGATTGTTGAGTTCATTATTCTATTTTTCTAGGTACTCATGAGAAGAAAGCTTATCTACAAGATAAGTTTCCATCACTGGATGATGATTGTTTTGCAAATTCTCGTAACACCACATTTGAACAGCACATTCTTACAGCAACAAATGGGAAAGGTGAGTAATTATATAAGTTAATATTTCTTGGATAATAAAAAAAGAACGTATATTGTCTAATAGATAAAAACACTTAGCTGAGTTTGCAGAGCCTTGAACTGTACTCTGTACATCAATACAGTAAGTTGGTCAATAAGAATTGCAAATTATAATTACAAACTGGTTTTGACTTTCAGGTGTGAACTTAGTTTTGAATTCATTAGCAGAAGAGAAACTTCAAGCAAGTGTAAGGGTTCTTGCAAGGCATGGACGATTCTTAGAGATTGGAAAATATGACCTGTCTAACAACACCCCACTAGGTATGTTAATATGTATACAAGTTACAGTATAGGATTTATCTACACTATTATGTATGATAATGTCAAGAAATACACTGTAGGTGTTTAATACGTAAATTAACAAGCAGTGTTTTGTTGGCACTTCCTGACACTGTTCGCGAGTCTCCCTCTATTTCTAGTTTTTAAGACGAGGTTTAAGACCCACCTGTTTTGCTCTTTTTAATCTATTTTCTTTCCCTATTTTCTGTTTCAGGTATGGCAGTGTTCCTTCGCAATGTAGCATTCCATGGAATCCTTCTGGATGCCCTCTTTGAAGACGGTAATGATGAATGGCAAATGGTTGCGGATCTTGTTACAGCAGGAATCAAGTCTGGAGCAGTGACACCAATAAGGACAACAGTCTTTGAAAAGAGTGATGTAGAGGGCGCTTTCCGTTATATGGCGCAAGGAAAACACATTGGAAAGGTCCTGGTTAAGGTTTGTAGATATAAGAGTTTTTTATGAATTGCTATTACCAAAATGTGCTGGATCTTACAAATGCAGCATTGTCTGCAAATAGCAGTTGGTCCAACGTGAAGGTCCTAGCATGATGCAATTGCATGCGCCTTAGGTTAAACAGCTTACCATCCATGCCATGGCGTATGTTGATACTCATGTTTATTAACTAAAATTATCAGAATAAGTTTTTCCCCATCGTCTACACAGCATGCCATTAAACAGTGCAACATACACATAACAATGGCATTACGCTGTATGTATTAACATAGGGATTAGTAGTAATAGCCGCTAGCAATGCATATCATATAATTGATAATTTTTAAAATAGGTCCACTTATTATTTTTTTTAAATAATGTCTTGTATTAATAGGTACGTGATTCTGTGGAGCCGTCGTTCTCTATGAATGCCTTATCTTACACCTACTGCCATCCTAACAAAGTCTACATCATTTATTTATTTAGGTTAAACAGCTTACCATCCATGCCATGGCGTATGTTGATACTCATGTTTATTAACTAAAAT